ATAGAAACTCGTGACAATTTAGAACTTGATATATTGTGTAAACACCTGTTTCTTGTTGAAGGCTATACATGTACATGTATATGTTGCCCTCTTGATGTTCTGTTGTTGTTTTTGTCGTTCGATAGCTGTCATATTGACGTGTAACCCACATCTCAAACAGTTTGAGTTCCGTTTGATTACTTTTTAACTCAACTTTTCAATCAGTTTATGACAAACTGAAAGGGTTATCGAGTTAATTAATTGCTTTCTTTCCCTCAATCCATGAATATACTCAGTGGACGATATATATATATATATATATATATATATATATAGGTATAAGCGTTGTCTATTTTTATATGACAAGACCACAGTAGCAACAATATCCTTTTAATGTAGAATTCAGTATAAAAAAAACTATGCCGACAATGTTCAAGCATCATCGCATACAGGTTTGTTTTATAAGACAGCTGATTGGATAAAAGTGATACATTCCCACGCCTACATTAATCTGATGTCCAATCAAATGCCTCCAGAAACCTGTCAATAAAACAATTACTGCAAAAATTGATAAGTTAGAGATTTTATTGTGTATTCAATATTTGAAATAAGTAAGATAGCTTCTATTCGTTCAACATCAAATTGCGAAGAACGTGTCGTGTAACAACCCTCCCCCCTTTCATGTTTACACCTTCTTATGTTAACACTTTCTTTTTAAACGGAGAAAATATAAAATATAACCGTACTGCAAGTTTCTGAATTTTGCAAGAAATTCTATGTAGCAACGTGTGATTCCTGGAATTGTCAAATTTTCAAGTTTTAACAAACCTCTGAAAGAAGTTAGATCATACAATTTTCATCAACCATGTGCAAAAAAAAAAAAAAAAAACCCACCGAATTATATTTGCAAATTGGAAAAGATTAAGAATTGTTTTATATCCGTACTAAAAATCTTCCGTAATTATTTGAAATAAAAAAAAATATGCATGTTTCTCTCTGCCTGAATGCAATCGAAAACAAATTTTCATTTTATTCTTTATCTATAATTTGCAAAAGAGGAAAAATTATCATATTATTAAAAGAAAGACTAAAGATATTACCATCAAGGTAAATGAGTTTTCCATAAAGTAACTAATCCTTAATTCACAACCGTCAATGTACTTGAAAAACTCTGGATTCATTTTTGATATTTACCTGATAGATAGATAAAAAAAAAAAACCATATCTATCAGGAATTTCGATGGCAAAAATGAAATAATAAATGTGGTTTTTTTTTGTAGACGAGTAGCAAATTTTGTTGAAAGAAAATTAAAATATATTCACATCTTTCTGAGTAAAGTGTCAAAAATGCAACAGTATAATTGTATTAATAGTAACTGATGACTATTTTATAGATTAAAGGATTATAAGTCGAACACGACACTCGCACAATGTACATAATTGAAAACTGGTTAATTTTTTTTCTATAGCATTCCGAAGTGCATATACTTGGCTAAGATAGTTGAATGTTCAGCAAACAATATTACATGATATGCAAATGATATCAATCGAAAGCAACAGCGGAAGATTTAAGTTTTGAAATCAGAGCATTCCTTAAATTAAACATTTGAAACAGGTTCTTTTAAGCACCAGCATGCATATTTTAATTATATAAATATAAAATTGAGAATGACTGATGTACTTATTATTCTATCTAACAATTAGCATTGGTAGTCTCGGCAGTTTTCTCTCCCTGAGTGCGGGAGGTCCTTTTTAACGGACAGCGGAAAGAAAGTCACAGGACAGAAAGTTACAAATTTGATAGGACAAAAAGTCACAAATAATTTGTTGACAATTGATTGATTATATAAGAGACAAATCTTGAAATAATTACTTTTTATTACATATTTTCTTTTGACAGTTTGGGAAATTGTTCATTAGCCTTGATAAATGAAGATTTATTAAATTTTAATCATTAGAAGGATATGTTTTTTGAAGCACCATGAAGCCGTTTAGGCACCAAGCCACTTTGACATTTTGTTTTTGAAATGAGAAGTAACACGGGTGCTATATAAAACAAATCTGCTACGAAACAGAAATATAAACCGTAAACTAGATGTATAATTATCACGGTACATTTTCTTTTTACCAATTGTTTCATAACTTATTCCATGTTATATTTTTCTATAATATAGTTTATTCTTTTTTTTTTAGTTCTTGTTAAAAAAGACTTGATGCTTAAAAAAGGTCAGAGAAGTATCAAAATCGGGGTTTATAGGTACCTATACTAAATATAAACTGTTACCTAGATTTTTGAAATATGCTTGCATTCTTGTTGCATTTATTTTGAAATAATGTTTTATAATTTGTAAATGTAATAATTTTATCCGGTGTATCCTTATATATGATAAAACATGGCAACATATTTCACATAACTTCCATGGATAAAACAGTCACAGCGTTGCACGGGTATTTATGATTATTAAGATAGTGTTTGACAGTCCGTTTCGGTTGAATGCTCAGATAATCCGTATATTGAAATGTAAATAACTTTCACCAAACATCTGTCATCTGTCAAAAATTAGAAAAATATAAAGTAAATAAGATACTCAGAATATATTTTCCTTGACTAATTTTATATGGGTAAGAACAATTATTTTAAATCACAGACGAAAATGTGTTTAAGAACATTTTTGATATTTATTACTAATCATTATATCTTTACAGACGGAACGAATATATACTAAATTACTTAATGCAAGAAAGCACGACTGCAAAGTTTTTATGACTTACACACTTTTCCGGTTATACCAATCATTCTTTTCTTATATAACCAATTAAATGTTTACGTGAAATAACATCGGAAAAAAATGAATTGCAACTTTGCAAACGTTATTTAATTAATAGACATACAGCATAACATTAAAAGACCACAAAAGAGTACCCTCCATTCTTTTCCGATTTTATTCATGAAAGGGAAACAACCCCTAATAAACACAGAGAAAGTGTCGCCCGTTTTGCATCCGAATATTTAAAATCTTAACACGACTGAACACGATCTTACAAAGTCTAAACAGCATTTTTACCTTTAGTCTGATTTGATCTGAACATGGTCTGATCAAGTCTTAATCGGATGCAAGAACAATCTGTCTTGTTTATCTTGAGATGACTGAACAGACTTAACACGGTATATCGTGACAGCGTCTGAAAGTCTGAAAAAGTCTTGACGTTTTTCTCTAGCAGTAAATCCAGTCGATTAAGACTTGATCAGACCAAAATGACCGTTTCAGACTCAAATATTGCTACTAGTGGTATTTAGTGTGATATTTTAAGACTTACATGCGTTGTATGGTTACGCTGATCTTTCTATATTTCTAATTGTTATCGTATGCACCACAAGAGGTACAAAACTCATAGAATTGTTGACCATCCTGTTTGTTAGTTTCTTTTAGATTTTATCGCTTAAACGTAATTCTAAAACAATTTCAACTCGATTTACTCATAATGGAAATACAAAAAAAATGTTTGTACATAAACCTTTACGACAATGGTTTTGATGGTTTCAATGAACAAAAAATGAAAAGATTCACTGTATGAATTTAAATTAGATACGTTTTTTGACAAATAAATATCATATTTTAGGCCTTTAAGCAAATTTATATTTCATTATACATGTTACATGGATTTTTCCTCTTTTTTTCAAACTACAATGCACACACAAGTCTAGTCAGTTTGTCAAATAGTTGAAAACACAGTGCCTTCTAGTAAGACATAGTTACGCAAACTATATGGTATATAAATGACATAAATTTGTTTTTCTGATGATTTGAAACGGCGTTTCGAACTCGCAAATGTATGTTAGGGTAATGAATTTCCCACTCCATTGAGATCTATTCCCAGTAAATTACACACATGTATCATCTACTGCATTTGTTATCCACAATAAAATACGTCTATATCAATCGGTATCATCTTCTGATAGGGGATATGTGAATGTTTAAGAAGCTTTGGCAGAACTGACACTGAGTTAAGAATTTAGCCTTCTCAATATAGAATAATAAACAAACCATATGTAATTCTCATTACTTTACACTTGTAAAACAAGAAGTCGTGCGGTAGCTTCGAAACCGGAGCGCTTATGGACCGCAAATTGTCAAATAATAGCATGAGGACCATACAAGCTACTGTTCCACCGCTTTGCTTGTGGTTGATCGTGAAGTTTGCAGTGTCCGAGCATAATCATTTATCAAACTTCTCAGGGGGCGGATCCAGCCATTATATAAAGGGGGTCTAACCATATGTCCCCATACAAAAGCATTAATTGTCAAAAAGAGGGGTTCCAACTCCCGAAACACCCCTTAGATCCGCCACTACTTCTGTTGTAATCCAAATAATTAAGACGTATTTACGCCTTCACATGCCAAAATCAAGATAGCATTTTGAATCGAGATAGAGAACAGATAAAATGATATAACTAATAACTTAATCTAGATAACGACAACTTAATTCAGGTAAGGTTTAACTTTCTAAAAATCACGAATCACTAAATCGAGATACATGTATCGGATCCGGAAGATCAAACCGTTATAATGGTCAGAAAATCCAAAAAAAAAGTGTGTCCCTTCAGAGCGTCCGTTGAAATTCGGTAATATTTATAAGAATAGCATTTTGCTAACTATTAATTTAGTATTTCAAGTTTTGCCATACTGTATACGTATTTTTTAAGAATTTAAACAATCGATGAACAATCGATGAACGGACTCCCCAAGATACATGTTATGTTTTGTTTTCATTCTTGTTTCAAATACATATCTGGAAAAAAATTTTGAACTTAATACTAGTTCAGCCCGGAACTTATGCATTCAATTGTCACTGTTCATGTATATTGAAAGAACATGTATCGTGGTAATTAAAAAAGCAAGGCAAATGAAAAAACAGAAATATTTTAGCACATGAATCTTCCTCTGACGTCAAACAACTTTTTTTGACATTTTATAATTATATGTAACACGTACGTAACCTTTTGATTTTTTTTTTCACAGGACAGGAGTCATCAACTTGTACAATGGAACCTTCTGTTTATAAAAATAGTACTTTACCTAGATGTCCCGAGTCAACTGCATTAGTTCCTGTTGTGCTAGCTATATACATGGTGTTAACAAACCTTATGTTATTGAACTTACTTATCGCTATGTTTTCGTGAGTAAATTCAAAATCTTATATACACGTGTATATTAAAAAAGAAATCAAGACAATCCCATCAGGATCTCTCTTTTTTACATTTCGGACATTATGTCACAAACGAACAATTACTTTTTGTTTTTGACTTGCTGTCTCGGAAATTGGTCAAATACGACAAATTACTTATCCAGTTCAGTTATTGCCCCAGAAATTGATGACTAAATCAGCAGACCTGTTGCATTTCAAAATGTAATTAATAGTTTTAGCATGCTATTTATCACATGATAGTAATTTTATGTTATCATGGTATGTGTAATTGAGCATATTTTCAACATGCAATTTTACTGTGTAAAGCTGGAAGAATATAATGTTTACCTGATGTGTGAACAATTTTCTTTGACAGAACGATATGCAAAAGCGAATCTAATATGTTTTTAAATACGATATCAATAAATCAAGTTTTTAATTTTGCATATACAGATGGTTGAATACCCAGCTGAGCATAAAAACATATCATTATTTTACAGCAGCATTTACTTCATGGCCAATGTATGTAAATGCCACGTTAAATTTGCGTTACCTTCAAACTATCAGTAAACGAGCGTTAAGGGAGAAAGTAAATGCACGTTAAAGCAAAATCTCGTCGTATCATGGATACACTGACTAACCATACTACAACAGCATTTAAAAGTCATACGCGTTTTTTACATACAGTTTTGCAGTATATAATTTAAATAATCTTAAAAAAAAATACATAACCTATGTGTTATTAATAGCAAATGCATATCCATTTAAAAAAGCAAGAATCAAATAAGTGATACTGAAACAAAATGTTTGGTTTGTAATCGGAGTTAGAATACATGTAACATGAGAATCGAATGAAAAAACTGTATATTTATGTATACAAAACAACGAAAAAAATTCCTCTCAAATGAAAATGCGGTGTATTTATAGTTTATATAAATAGTTAATGCGAAAACTAAACGCGTATTTATTGTGTAGTATATGTTTAAAAAAGACGTTAACTTTGCAATCTGAAGTAAAATGCCGTTTATTACGATTGAACGGCCACACGGTTAACGCGTTTGTACTTCAGTAGACATTAGCACTTTGTATGTTGACTGCAGCAGCGGAACATTAGTTATACCATATGTTTTATAGCTAATTCAAAATAAAGCTTTTATTTGACTCAAATGTGTTTGATGCCACTGAGTTATCTGTTGTTTCATAGATACAATTATACTATACAAACTTTCAGAACATAATACAATTCCTTACTTTACCGGGTAATATACAAACCAATCTTGAATTGTCCGATTAATAATTTAGAATTGTCTATTTTTTTAGGTCGTTTTTAGTTATATAGCTTTTCAACGGTTTTGATTGGCGTTCCAATATTCGGCTTTCAGCTTGCAGGAAACATTGGGTACAAAAAATATAGAAATTTTCGCGCGGTTTTGCTCTAAAGGCAAAAGTCCAGCCCCGTCATCCTCCTTCCACCGCCTTTCACCAGAATATGTAATGGTCGTCCCTTTACTTCCAGGTTCAGTGCTAGAACAGATTTAAAAAAAAAATAAAAAAATAACCTGACGAAATAACCTTACATGTTATATGATTTTATCCAGAAAATGAATCTGCAATATTTAGAAAAATTATCTGTTATGTTAGATCGGAATCTATATGGAAGAATTGAAACTTGTTTATGCTTTGTCTTTTATTTTACATATCTAAATGTCAGGTCATCTTTAGCAAGCATACTATTAAATGAAATTGGTTGTAATAGCTATTTCTTTACTTTTTCATTGGTGTTTTTTTTTTTAAATTGTTTTTGTGTTTTTGACACGAAACAAATCACCCCGAAATGTTAAGCTGATCAAAATTAATACTGAGTAGACAACTAGTTTCTGTCATTCAGAATATATATATATATATATATATATATATATATATATACATAAATGTATACATATAAAAAGTCTCTGATTGAATGTATAATAAAAACTATAGCACAATTTTTCATACCTTTCGGCCATTACATATATACATACGTTTTCGTTATTAATACTTGTTTGTAAACATTTTTTTTTTTCTTTCCAAACTTTAGTTATTTTTCTTTCCTTGTTTTTAGAAATTAACACGAATTCATCTGAGTTTATGAAAGATTGTTTTACCTTCTTCTTCTATGCGATGCGCTCTTAAATATTTTAGAAAAAATGGTAAATTAGAATGTATTCACTTTTTAAACTAAGTAGTCCTTAAGTGTGACAAAGATGTCTACTTAAATATTACTCTTTCATGTTTGGTTTTCATTTCATTTTCATTTCAGTTATTACATGTATCAATCGCTTTTTTTCAAGGAAAACGATGTTATTTATATTTACGTACAATAATTAAACCTTTCAGTGAACACATTTCGTTTCAGCAATACATTTCAGAAAGTGCAAGATAATGCCGTCTTGATTTGGAAGTTCCATAGATATTCACTTGTACATGAGTATTACGAAAGACCGGTTCTCGCACCACCACTGATTATAATAAATCATTTATATATTGGATATTTCGTTTACCATAAATGGTGCAAGAAGGACTTCCAACTTGACAATGCCTTTGGAATGGATATGCAAGGTACTATTATATGATAACTTTAAACTTATACATGTAGATGATGGTACAAACTTACCACGTCTAAAGCGACAGTAAGTAAAACAGTAAAAAATAAATAAATTCCAAAGAAAGTAAAATATGCATAATACTACACAATACACTTCTTTAATAAGTAATTACACCAACTTTAAGAGTCGTCCAACTTATACATAGTCATGATAAATAATACTTAATGGATGTAATATACGCATAATAAGTTGTTCGTGGGTAGTTAAACAAGTTTAAATATGATTGTCTCCTGTTTACCGTGAACAAATTCAACTTAATATAACTAAATGTAATATTAACAAATACAATTTTTTATTTGTATATAAGGTTGCTCAGATATTCCGTAAGGAATAAATCATGTATGTCAAGTAACCGGTATTGCGGTTGTTTTCGTTTGTTTGAGATTCAGATGTTATTCTTCTTTGTCGTTAAGATAATACATCATTGGCCACTACTTTCTCTTTTTATTCACACTGAACATATTTACAAATTTCTTATAACGTTAAATCGATTGTCGTTAACATATAATTTCTTCCCGTTTAAATTGTGCTTTTCTTTTAATTCTGCGTACTATACAAGTGTATGTTTTCTATACGGATAAGTTATTAAGATAAGTATATGTCCCTCACGTCTATTTTTTTTTTAAGTTTGCTTTTTCAAGTTATGAAGTTAATTGATTATGGCTTTAATGGTTAACGAGGCAGGACTATACTTACGGGCTTCTTGAAATTCAGTCTTATATCAGTTAAGATATGTTCCCGATGGATATAATCCTACAGTTGCCAGGAAAAGAAGAAATTATTAAAATGAATGATTTCATGCAATAATGGACGATGGAAATAATGTCTTTCAGAAGTACATAAAGTTGATTTTTTTCGGAAAACAAAATATTCAAAATTGAAATGTTATTGAACACTTACCATTATTTAATCACGAGTAATCATTAAAGTTTTCTGTGAATAAATGTTGCATATTAAAACATGATGTTCATTACTTTAGAAAAGAATAAAGTGGTTGCTGAGTTTGAAACAAAAGCAATGGACGAATGTTTTAAATCACTTGATGACAGGCATGGATCAAAAGTACCAAGGTATTATCTAAAAAAAAACAACTTTGCTGTTCGTTAAATGTGCAACAATGAAAAGCATATCATAAAATTGAAGGATATAATGAATGTATCAGCAGGATTGTTGTTTTACTCCTGAAAGTCTATGCAGGATCTTGAACGATGAATAATCCAACAGTTTACTACTACATATAGCCACCCCTTATGTCGACTTAAGCCATAATTTCGTATATTTATTTTTGTTTCTCTTTATACATATAATACAAAAATACTTCATCTCTAACATACTATTTGTTTCAGTAGTTAAAAGTATCAACATGTGTATTGCTTAAACATCAGTGTTATATCTTTCGTTTATTGACAAGGAAGTAACTCCTTTCTCTTAAACTTCATACTTTGAATACAGAAAGTTTTGCGCATTCATAATTGCGATTGTTGAACAAGCATCATTAAAGACTGTGATTTCAAAAAGTACTCAATATAAATAACGATAGCAAATATAAAACCCGAGATATTTCAGTTATTTGCTAGTATGATTTTTAAGAATGTTATATATATATATATAAGTACGTCTAAACAAGTGACAACTCTACGACAGATCCATCGATTGAATCACCAGTGAAGGTGATACACGGCTGAAAACACATATTGTATTAATAATTACTCTAAAGATCAGCACAACAATGTTAAATCTGCATATTTAAGGAAGCAAATTTTTGTTCTCACTCGCCGGGATTCGAAATCATGCTATTGGGATATCGTGAAAACACCGCATGCACTGTGTCCGGTGCTCTAGAACACTTGGCCACCTAGACTGAACTAAACATTTAGCTTTCGGTGGCCTAGTGTTACCTTTCCTCGTCAGTAGAATTTAGAGTTGAAACATAGTACACGATATATTAGGCATGAAGATGGAATTGATTGCAGGTTAGCTAAATTATTTGTCGTAAATGATCGTAAGATGCAGTCAAAGAAATAATTATTTGATAAGTACGTCTAAACAAGTGACAAATTTACGACAGATCCATCGATTGGATCACTAGTGAAGGTGATACACGGCTGAAAACACATATTATATATGCATAATTACTCTAAATATCAGCAGAGCAATGTTAAATCTGCAAATATGCGGAAGTAAATTTTTGTTTTTCCATCGTCGGCTTTCTAACTCATGTTATTGGGATATCGTCACAACACCGCCTGTACTGTTCCAGAGCTATATATATATATATATATATATATAATTACTACCCCGGATCTGGTGTAGTGGTTAGAACCTCTGTCTTTAAATGCTTTGGGCATGGTCGTCAAAGGATGTATAAAATAGTCGTAAGCTAGTCTCTCTAGAGATGATTAAAATCCAAATTTGTGTGAATACGATTTTGAGGTTGGAAATTACTATGACATTGTTTGGTTGAATCATTAAGCCTTTACGTATATAAATAAAAAACCCAAGTTTTGAGCAGTAAATAATGAGCTGTGTATTTTTAGAATTACACGAAAATGAATTGCATATGTACTGTCTTTCTTTTTGTATGAATTGTAAAAAGCTGTTGGTTTTCAATATATATGGGATAATTTGTTTAGCCGTAGTTATATACAAATTTTGTCTTATCAACAAACATATAAAAGATGGTGCAATCAAAACAGCATTAAAATAAAATTGAGAATGGAAATGGGGAATGTGTCAAAGAGACAACAACCCGACCATAGAGCAGACAACAGCCGAAGGCATCCAATGGGTCTTCAATGCAGCGAGAAACTGCCGCACCCGGAGGCGTCCTTCAGCTGGCCCCTAAACAAATATGTATACTAGTTCAGTGATAATGGACGTCATACTAAACTCCAAATTATACACAAGAAACTAAAATTAAAAATGATACATACTAACAAAGGCCAGAGGCTCCTGACTTGGGACAGGCGCAAAAATGCGGCGGGGTTAAACATGTTTTTTGAGATCTCAACCCTCCCCCTATACCTCTAGCTAATGTAGAAAAAAAAACGTACAACAGTACGCACAGTAAAACCCAGTTTAAGAGAAGTCCGAGTCCGATGTTAGAATAGGAAACAAAAGAAAATAAACAAAATGACAATAATACATAAACAGACTACTAGCAGTTATTTACATGCCAGCTCCAGACCTCAATTAAACTGATTGAAAGATTATGTCTTCATCATATGAATATCAGGCACAATCGCTCCTGTTAGGGGTTTAGTATTATACCATCATAAAATATATGAGAAGAACATAACCCGTGTCATGCCAACAACTGGTTTTAGAATAAATATGTTTAATTCCGATGCAAAGACCCTATAAGTGAATCAATATTAAAGCCAAAATATGCAATCTTTAATGACCTGACAACAGTATCGTAACTATATCCCTTCTTAATAAGTCTGTTTAAAGGTTTTGTTAGCTTATGAGGTGAATACTGACATGTTTGTGCTTTGTAAAGAATATTACCATAAAAGATTGGATGTGAAATACCCGAACGTATACGATGTCTGCATGTTGAGTTATATTTACGAATGATGTCCTTATACCGATGATAAAAGTTAGTAAATGTTTTGACTAGTTTATGATATCGAAAACCCTGGTGTAATAATTTTTCAGTAACACATAAATTTCTCTCGCTAAAATCTAATACGTTGTTACATACACGAGCGAATCGTACAAGTTTAGATATATAAACACCATAAGATGGTGACAAGGGAACGTCACCATCTAAAAATGGATAATTAACGATAGGAAATGAAAAATCATCACTTTTATCATACATTTTTGTATTAAGCTTCCCGTTAATGATATATATATCAAGATCGAGGAAAGGACGTTGGTCATTGTTAGTATTAGCTTTATTTAAAGTAAGTTCAACAGGATAAATTTTTCTTAGTATACATACTGAAGTCGTCATTATTGAGAGCCAATATATCATCCAAATATCTAAAAGAACACAACTAATTCACCTTATGTTACAGTTCTATTAAAAATACTAATTGTATTGCTATTTAAGCACAATGCCAAACTGCAATGCAATATTAGGTGCGCATACTTATGTAAAGGTTTGCACATCTACACAAGTGAAACTATCAACCGATATGTTTTTCAGGACAAGAAGTTATTATCATATGTCAAACGATAACATAGAAAGGGATGAAAAACTGAATGAAATTGCTGAACTATGCAATCAAGTGAACCAGAAGTTGGCTGAACTAGTAGAGTCTACAGCATGAGATGTTACTATTCCTTTCAATGTGTAGATACATAACAATAGAAAAGAGTTCGATAGGAATAATCTTTACTAAACTAATCATGTGAAAAATCAATTATCGTTAAGGATTTTTCCTGATCTTGTCTTTGACTTTTATCAAATATTTGGAATCCTCTGGTTTTATCTATTTAGTGCCATACAAAACATTGCTCGCTAACACCTACTTTCAATTACTATTTTATAACACATAGTTAAAAAAAGCATTTTATAAAATCGTATAAGTGGTTGCGTTTTGTTTATAGCTTTTAGAAGGAGAAAGGTACCAACTTAGATTGATAAACAATCTAGAGAGAATCATTTCCCGCCAAATTATCAATTGATTATATCTCAAAACAATGACACAGACCTTAAATTTTTCTGCTTTTATTGTTCCGTTATTAATATACTTTTAATGATTAACCGTCTTTTGAAAAGCTGGTTATTTTGAAATAGAGTGAACATCACTAAATACCGTAAAGTTAATTTATCTAACTTCATCCTTTTGTTTATTATACTCATAATTTTCCTTTAAGTATTATTGTATTATTTGCAATGAGAAACAGTTATGAATTTTTTTTTATATTTCAAATAGTGAATTAGTTCAGAGGTTTTTGTTTTACACATGGTTGGAACATTCAAAATCGATTCATGTTAAACTCTGGTAAATAAACTCAAAGACCTGTCTTTGATAACGAAGCTAATACATTTTTATATTAAGTGATATAACGTGCAATTTTTTTTTGCAATATATGTCAGCAGAAAACAAAGTTTGTATAAGGTAAACGTCTGCAAATACAATGTGCAGTAAGGTTAGTGCTGTTGTTTAATTTCCCTTAATACAAGGTTAAACATTACCAAATAAAGCCCATTAACGCAAAATTACATCGATCTTTAAAAATCTAAACAATATATTGTACGACATGTCATTTACATTGGGCATAGACGTTTAATCTTCATTTACCGTTTTTCAGTCAAGATGGACCCACTAAAGCTGTCCTCAATTATTATTTTTATTTTTAATGTTTGCATTGCTGTTTTGTTTTAATCCACTATACATTTTTTTTTTATATTTAAGGTCGAAAATTAGAACCATAGAGTCCCCGTTTATTATGAGATACATTTAACCTTCAAACTATTATCTCTTATATTCTGTCATCATTGGGTTATCTTATGTACTTAATAACATTTGTTTGTTAGTTGTTGGATATACAATGATATACTTTTAAATTCTATTCTAGGCATTTCATCAATTGTTTGATAAATAATTCATGTTTATCTTGGGGGTTATGGAGGGTTTATATTAGTTAAAAATTGTACGCTCAGCTTTGCTCATTTAATCCAGTGCATGTCTAAACAGTGGAAGATTTGCATGATAACTTAAAAATACACCGATGTATACGGTATAAATTGCTTAACGTTGAAACTTACAGTCAGGATTACAATTTAAGTATTTAGTGCTAGACAACACTTTGAGAACACTTTTTTGTTTAAAAAACGAGGCGAAAGATACCAAAGGGATATTCAAACCCATAAGTCGAAAACTAACTGACGATACCATGACAAAAAAACGAAAAACGACTTACAGAAAAAACAATATATCAAACACAACAAAAAAAAGACAGATCAACACACACCCAAACATAAAAGCGGAGGTGATCTCAGATGCTACGTAAGGTTAAGTAGATCCTGCACCAAATGTGGTACCCTTCATGTTATTCATGATGAAATTTATGTAAAAAACTTAAAATTTATGGCTTCCATGAAGATACTGTTGATTTTTTTAAATCATATTTGAGTGAAAGAACACAGCAAGTCCATATCAATAATCAGTTTTCTGACAAAAAGTTTATAAATTTTGGTGTTCCACAGGGCTCAATACTTGGTCCCATTTTGTTTGTTTTGTACATAAATGACCTTCCTTTACACATCAAAAACTGCCATACAGACTTGTATGCTGATGACACAACTATGCATACATCAGGAAAGAGTATTGCTGATATGCAATTAAAAGTACAAGATGATCTCCAATGTGTTGAAAAATGGTGTCATAAAAATAACATATTCATAAATTCAGATAAGACTAAATGTATGGTTATAGGTATAAGACAAAGGCTGCGTTTAAATCAAGCAGAACCAGTTCTAACTATTGAGAATAATATTCTTCAAAAATCATCAATTGAAAAACTTTTAGGTGTTAGAATTGACTCTAATCTGTCCTGGACAGGCCATGTTAATTACTTATGTTCATCAATATCATCCAGACTTCATTTACTCTCTAAAATCAAGAAATTTCTAAATATTGATTCAAGAAAATTGTTTTATAATGGCTATATTCTCCCACTGATAGATTATTGTTGTATTATTTGGAGTGGTTGTGCTAAAATGAGCTAGTCAGAATAATAAAATTGCAGAAAAGGGCTGCAAGACTTATTTTAGATGCTGAACCACTTTCATCATTAGCTCTACTGTTTAAGCAGCTTGGGTGGATGGCAGTAGAGAACAGAATCTCATACCACAAATCTGTTTTGATGCAGAAATGCCTTAAGAACGAAGCCCCTGTATATCTCACTGAAAAATTTAAAGAAATGCCATAAATAAACCAATATTGTTTGAGGAATGCGTCTTGCAAAAATTTACAAGTTCCAAAAGCCAAAACTGAGCTGTATAAGAAATCTTTTGTATATTCAGGATCTATTTTATGGAATAACTTACCAACATCCCTGAAAAAATCAACCTCAAGTACAAGCTCATTCAAAAAAGATTTAAACAATTACTTGTTGGAACATTAATTTAAGAAGCTGTGTAATTTTATATGTATAATAATTTTTAAAACACTTACTCAAACTTAAGATATTGTTGAGGTAATTTGAATGATGCCAATACTATATGAATTTGTAATTTTTACCTGTTTTGAAAATTGTATATTTCATAACAATTTTTTATTTCCTTTTTTCATATATGTGTGTTTGTTTGATATTTTGTAATTGTTTGTTATATTCCATTGTATTTCATGAGGGCCTCAGGGAAGATTAGTTTTATAGCTAACTGTGTAACCCTCTTTAAATAAAGAATTATTATTATTATTATTATTATTGATACAAACCCTATTTGAGTCTAATTCAGTTGGTCACATTCCAGGAAAAGAGGTTGGGATTGTGGTTATGCCAATTTAAACATATTCGTCGTCATCTATGAAACATAAATTACAATGACTGCTTAGATTGTTATGCAGTTTATACAACGCCTTAGAACTAAAATGAATTATTATTTATGATCTTAAGTTTTCTTTTGATATAAACATATTTAGGATTAGTGTGTTTATGATACTTACTCAATTGATATGATTTTTGCTAGTAATAACACTTACTTGAATAGTGTTTACCACTAAACTGTTTTGTTTTATTTTCATTTACAAACGTTTCAGACAAAAATCATTTGAAGTCAGTGTTGACTCCTCGTACACTGAGTAATATAGCATTTAATTTCACTCCATTTGTGTTAAAGTGGGGGTTAAAGTTTTTATGTATGGTTATTTGGCATTCACCACTTTAAAGATAGATCAAACACATAAACAGTCAGGTTTCGAAGACTTTTTCATAAACAATGGGATACTGCCTCATACTGAACATTTGAATATATGAAGAATAAGTAAGTTCATGCGTATGGAAAAATGAAAAAAAGCAATACCCTCAAAGAATTGCAAAATAGAATGGGAACATTTTCAGTATAAGTGCAATCTTCCAGTGACGTTTTGAATGATCTGGTTTGAAAACTTAAGGAAGAAATGAGCCCATAAAACTTACATCCTCTTTCAAAAATTACCTGAAGACTTAGAAAGTTTCCAAGTTCTGAAAATGAAAAAAAAATCATCAAAAAATTCTATGATAGCAGGTGCATAATCTTAAGCCTGGTATATATGATGAGTGTATTTACAACCACTGGATCGATGCCACTGCTGGTGGACGTTTCCTCCCCAAGGGTATCACCTGCCCAAAAGTAAGAACTCCTGTCTTGAAACGATGAATAAATGATATTGTCATAATCATAAGTTCTCAAAACTTAGAATTTTCGAAAAAAATATGATTTTCTATCCCAGGAATAGATATCCGTAGGTGTTATTGGCAACACCTGCCGGAATGTATGGGTCTTCAACTTTGTACTTTATATTAACTTTATAACTTTTTGTTATTCCAGCGTCACTGACAAGTCTTTTATAGAAGAAATGATCGTTTTTGCTTCGAGATTAGTTCAAGATAATTTATCGTTATTGCAAAACATCAGTGCGTAGGGAAAGCGGCACTATTAATGGAAGTCAGATGACATACTCTTCTTCACAATTTTACATTAATTTTCCATTTAAATTTCGAACATTATTAGAAGAGAAAAATAAATTTATAGATGTATTCATTTTGATGTTAAAAAAAATGTCTTCAAATTTCAAAAGGCAAAACCTGAACAAACACTTGTGTTGACCATTTATTCACGAGAATATGAATCTTTAAAAGTTAAAAGTCAACTCATACATGTGCAGCTTTATAATTTTGATTTTCACTTTTAAAATGTTAATGAGACCTTGTAGAAATCAAATTTTATAGTACTAATAAAAAAAAAAGATCCAACAATACGAATGTATAACAAAAGCCAAACAGGCTTTACCTTATATGACAATATACACAGTATTGCTTCATTTAAATGTGTTATACATTTGTTTATTTAAAGTAAACATTGTCAAAATAATCAGTTCGTATGCGGAAAGTCAATACATAACAAATATTTTGTGAACTGTCTTTGAAAGAACCTCATTAAACATTTTATTCTTCAGCATTTTTAATTATTGTATCACCTATTCATAAATAAGTGACAAGAAAAGTATATATGTTGAACAGTTCTAGTCAATGGCATACATGCTGTAGATTCTAATATGTTGGAATCGAACATGGCCGTGCTGTTACTAGACTTTTCAGGTGAAACACAATAATTTCGACATTACAATTGGGGTTTGTTATGTAAGCTCTACAGCTAACTTACATACCGAAGGAAGCCTTTCTGTGTTCATTATTTGAAATTGATTTCTTTAACTACACGCAAAATTTAAAGATTCTATTTTGATCTGATTTTGAACTCCTGTGAGACAAGTGATCCAACACTGATCATATTCTGACGTCAGGCGGCCGCGCTTCAAAATTTACATTATTTTAAGTATAGTAACTTGTAAACCACTTGTAAACTTCGACTGTTGTTTTTTGTTTTTTTTTTCATGTAATTAAATACAGATATTGTATGACGACTAAATTGATAGCCATTTCTGGAAATCAGAGCTAATTAAGCATTGTACCGTGCAATTTTGTAAAAGTGGTGCTTCGATATAAATTTTTCATATTGTTGATTGCCCTAAACATAGAATTAGATCCATGATTTTTCTTAAAAGAGGTATTTCAACAAACTCAAATATAACAATACTAAATGAAATTTGAAAATTTTCAAAGTAGAAAAAACAATTTGCCACAAAAGTCATGAAAGTGAAGTGGTCGTACCAAGCTTACTACTCTTCTAAATTAATTAGCTTCAATGAATAATCAGCTAAATTAATTGTCTTTATAGATTTGACACTTAAACCGGTCATCCAAAAACTGAATAAATTTAAATGACGACCTCCTTGTGTTTTATCGCAGTTATTATCTTGTGTTTCTGCTTAAGTGTAAAGTCAAAATAATGTCAGTTGATAACTCATACTTTTCACAGTAAAAGCAAATATCTTTCCTTTATTTTTGTATGTTTGGCCAACAAGAACATTAACATCTAAATAAAAAAAACAAAAAAACATCATTACAGTCTAACAACGTACATATGGTAAAGTACATTATGCACATGATACAGAACACGTCATGGTGGACACATATTTAATTAATGAATATGGCAATATTTTAAAGAAAACAACAACAAAAAACATGCCTAAAACCCATAGACATTAATGTATGTAAATTTGATATATAGACATAATAAACAAATCATAAATCTAGCAGCTGATTTGGAAGTTCTATACGAATGTTATCACTTCGTTATCTTAACCGTAACTTTAAATTCTTTCGTCACAACCTATCAAATGATTGACCACCTGACAACAAAATACGGATATTTAAAGCACGAAAAGACGTTTTCCTGAATAGTAAATAAAAAAAGCGATTTCAGAAGCAATAAAAGAACCTTCCAAAACCCTAAGGATGGTGAAAGTCAAAAAAAATCATTAACATATTTCAGAGCATATGAAACAATATCTACGGTCAATGTATAGAAAGACCTGAATAGTCACAAATACCGCCTCTCATAATACTACAAAAAAAACTCACTTGATAGCAGGATTAAAATTGTGTACGCCAGACGCGCGTTTTGTCTACAAAAGACTCATCAGTCTCGAATAAAAAAGAAAAAGATAAAAAGGCCAAATATTGTACGAAGTTGAAAAGCATTAGGGACCTAAAATTCCTAAAAGTTTTGCCAAATACATCTAAGGTTATCTATTTCTAAGGTAGAAAAACTTTGGTATTTCGTTTTGTAATCAGTTTATTTATAGTTATGACCACATCAATGATAATGCATGTCAACACATAAATGCTGACTACTGGGCTGTCAATCTTAATACATATTTTCTTGACGATTCTTTGAAAACAACATATACATGTTAAAGGTAGAGGAAGAAGTCAATCTTATTTCTGAAAATCCACATGTGATAACAATTCATTGATGTACAACTTATAAGATATTTGGCTACATGATGGAAATTTTTTTTGTTGGTGTACGGCAAGACTCAGAACGGACATTTAAAGAAAATTTATAACATAATTAATATACAAATGTCTTACCAAGAAAAGATATTCGGACTTGAGAGATACGTTGCACTTGTCAACAGACATATTTTGAGTTGACATTTCATCTGAGGTGAAATATCATAAAACGTTGATTAGTTACAAATATAAAGGTGCATCATTTTACAAACAAAGCAATAAATTATTATTTTAACAACGAGTATTTGTAATGTGAAAACTGTTTAACAGCTGTACAAAGACAAAACGTAATTTTCATATGATATTTGGAATTTATCATTATTTAGAAAGGTAATTTTATATACCTTTTCTTCATTGTTTACAGTTTCATATTTTATTCATTTCTCACTTAGTTGTATAGGTAATGCAAACTGTCTTTGATTGTATTCGTTTTCGTTTCGATAAGTTGTTCTTGTGCTTGTCTGTATGAAATCCAGTTCGCTGGAAAACAATGAAAATGAAGTAAAAAAAATATATTATCATACACATGATTTTTATATATGTTCTATAACAAATAATAGTATGTTGGAAAAGCAGTATAACTTGTATGCATATGAAACAAAACAGAACAATCCATGTGTATATTCTTCGAAGATAGTGTGATTGCTATTCTTATTTCAACCAAATATATATTTGAATTGAAAAATTGTTCTTTGTATGATGATTAAAAAATTAACAAAAAATAAATGAACTACATACATAGCATTAACACAACCAAAAATATAATGACATTTAACGTAACGGCGTAATCTTTCGGAGACAATCATTACTCTCTAAATTGCATGTTTCTGTAAGCTGTTCAATCTTCATCGATTTGAAATGTCGTTTTTGTTTGTGTTTTTCTCTAGGCAAACACCAGCAGTTAATACATTTTGAAATTATACGTATATTTTAATTCAAGCATTTTTGACGATTGAACAATAATAAAGTAATGTTCAGATATTCAGTCACTTTTCAGACTGTTCCCCTGATGCCAATTTTGTAACAGACATATTATTATTTCATTTGCAGTCAATTTGGAAACTATTCTTTTTATTTATGGCTATTTAGAAAACTTTTCAGATAATGCAAAAACAAAAAAGGCTGTTTAATAAAAATAAGATGATGTGATATGAGTGCCAATGAGACAACTCTCCGTTCAAGTAAAAATTTATAAAAGTAAACCATTATAGGTCACAGTACGGTCTTCAACACGGAGCCTTGGCTCACACCGAACAGTAGGCTATAAAGGGCCCCAAAAATGTTTAAGCCTTTTTCGACGCTGACAGTTAATCCTTAAATGTAATCATCACATTTGTGTGTGTAGCTTATCTTAAACGCAAACGTGCTGTACCCGCCGAAAGAAAGTAATACAGGGAACGCATCTTTTTTACGGTTAAAGGTGTCAGACTACCATTTCAAAACCCCTATAGAATCAACCAAATATTTCAATTTTCACAGCTTTCTTAATATTATAGAAACCATGTATATTCTGAATAGTCCAAGTTT